AATTTCCATTACCATCAATAGTCTTTAAGTCTATAATAGTCTAGAAGGGTTGTTTCTGTCTACATCTCCACCAGAATGTTATTTTTTCTCTCTTGATCATAACCATGCTAGCTGGGGTAAAATGGAATCTCTGTGTAGTTTTGATTCATATTTCCCTAATGGCTAAAGATATTGAATAGTTTTTCAGATACTTATTGGCCATTTGTAATTCTTTTTTTTTTTTTTTTTTGGTACCAGGAATTGAACTCATGACCTTGCACTTGCCAGGCAGGCACTGTGCTGCTGAACTAAATCCCCAGCCCCTATAATTCTTTTGAGAAGTGTGTACTCACCTCATTTGCCCATTTATTGTTTGGATTACTTGTTCTTTTAGGTGATTTTTTTGAGTTCTTTATATATTTTGATATTCAACTTCTGTCAGATGAACAGTTATACTATCTTAGAAATCATTGCCTGCCAGAAGGCCACACATATTTAACCTGTGATGTTTTCTAAAAGTTTTATTACTTCTTAAATTTAGATTTAGGATTTATTTAAATTAATGCTCCTTGTTCTGTAAATATCTGTATCAATTTTGAAAGTAAATATCCAGTATCCAGTTATTCTAGTAATGTTTGTTGAAAAGATAATTTTTGGCCTATCAATTATACTACTGACACCATATATATAAATAAATATATCTATATCTATATCTCTCTCTATGTATATAAAATCAGGAGAACACAAATAAATGTGTATATATATATGTTATATACATCTGTTATGTATTTCAAAGCAGTTAATATATCCTCATGCACTCTTCTGTTTATTATATATGTCAGTTGTATGAGTTCTTTGCAAGAGTGTATTAATTTTCGGTGACTTTTTAGTCCTGTTTGTTAAGAGTTAAAAGCTAAGTGCTATAGAATAAGAAGAAAGGCATTTCTGAAGGATTCAATTATGCAACTTGAGTAGAAGGGGTCAACAACTTCCACTAATAAGTGAAACTTGTTGATGCAAAAGGTCCACAGTGTGGGGCATGCAAACTCAGTTGGAAACTGTAGGAATTTTACAAGAAGTTTTTTAAAAAGCAGCATATTTTCCCCCAGACCTGCTTTTAAGTGTTTCTGTCCATTCAGATTTTCAAACAGCATCTTATCATAATTCATTAATTCACTAGAAAGAAGATGGCACAGACCTTCACATAATAATTGTTTTCATTTTTGTCAAACTATTTTATATTATTTTGTTTTCTTTTTTCTTTTTTTTTTTTTGGTTTTTCTCTGGTACTGGGAACCGAACTCACGACCTTGCACTTGCCAGGCAGGCGCTTTGCCGCTGAGCTAAATCCCCAGCCCCAAACTATTTTATATTAGTAAATATTTGCGTATATAATGATAGCATAAGGAATTCATAAATGTACATATCTTAATTTTTGTCAGCTTTCTGTCATATTACTCATTTTTCTCTGCAATTCTTAATTGCCTTCACATTGCATTTTTATTTATTTATTTATTTATTTATTTTTATCATTAGTCAGTTAGTTATTTAGTTTCTTGAGACAGGGTGTCACTGTGTAGTTCAGGGTGGGCCTGAACTCACTATGGAGTCCAGGCTGAAATATTCTATTTAGAACTTAATATAATTGCTTTGATCAGTTTAAAGATGATAAATCTGGGCATGGTGGTGCACATCTGTAATTCCAGCACTTGAGAGGCTGAGGTAGGAGGACTGCTGCAAGTTCGAGGCCAGCTTGGGTTATAATGTGAGTTCCAGGCTAGCTTGAACAGCATAGTGAAATCTCAGCTTAAAAAAAGGATGATGGACAACTTGACAGGATTAAATCTTCTAATATATAAACATAGGGTTCTTTCTATCTCTACAAGGGTTGGTCAAAGAAATTAACATTTAAATAAAAAATGTGTTGCAGGAAAGGGTAGACTGCCATTAATCTCTCTCAAAGTACTCCCCTTACTGCAAACATAGTTCTCTCATCATTCTTGGAACTTCCTAGAGCTCTTCAGAAGCCCTCTTTTATGAGTACATCTTTTATTTTTAATGAGTGTTTTTATGTTGCAGTATACATATACTGAGTATACTGCATTATTAGAATTCTACCTAAAATCTCAGTTTTTGGTACTGTTGTAAATGGTACTAATTTATAAAATTTCAAATTTTCAGATGTTCATTGTTGAAAAGAAATAATGTTGACTTCACTGTGGTTTGAATGTGTCCCCACAAACTCATGTTGAAATTTGTCTTTTTAATAGTGTGAAGAGTTAGTAACTGTAAGAACTGATTACTCCTTGAGGGATGATTTCCTGGATGGTTAATGCAGTTAATGTGGGAGTGGCCTCCTTATAAAATGACGCTTCCCCCCTCTCTTGCTTCATTCTTGGCTCTTTACCTTCCTCACCTTTGCTCCCAGTTTCTTTTGTCTTTTCTGCCATGTGATGCCAACTATCACTTTATTAAGAAGGCCCTTGCCAGTTGCTGGTGGCTTGTCCTTGGATATCTAGGAGTCCAGAACAGAGAACTACTGAATTTCTGTTTCTTAGAAGTCACCTTATCTGTAACATTCTGTTTTTGCAGCAAGAAATGGACTGAGACAGATCTGATGTTCTGTGGCATTCTAAATTTACTTATAGTTTATAGAATCAGTTCTTTAGAATACCTTGAATTATTATGTGAACAGTTATATTATTTGTTGACAAAGTTATCTTGTTTTTTTCTTTGTAATATAAACACCAGTTTGTTTTCTTTTTTTTTTTTAACCATTTTGCACTATCACCTCTAATCATGGAGTAGTTATAAGAATGAAAAACCATGCCTTGTTTTCTCCTGTGAGATAAAGGTTGCGTTCTCCATGGCTTCTTCAAGGCTTCAAGCTCTTTTTCTCCCTGCAATCACTTTAAAAGAACAACTTCCCTTAGTTTTTGACACTCAAGAATTCACATGATTCTCAAAGTGACAGCAGGGAAAGTGAAAGGAAAGGGCAAAATATTTATCAAAATTTGCTTCCGCCAAGCCAAGCATGTTGGTGCACGTCTGTAATCCCAGCACTCAGGGGCTGAGGCAGGATTGCTGTGAGTTCGAGGCCAGCCTGAACTGCATAGCGAGACCCAGTTTCAAAAAGACAAAAAAAAAATTCCTTCCATCAAATTATAATTTATATTACTCTCTGCATTCATGAATCTATGCATCACTTCCATAAAAAGATGAAAGTTATAAAATATGCAGTTCATAGATGAACACTAATTAAAATTTGAAAAAATTATGATGACTGTTATGACAGAAGATGCACCAGAACTGATAACATAATTATGGATTGTCTCCATTGTAGTGGTTAGGTGTGGAATGCTTTGACTGTGCAATAGTGTGAATGTAACAAAATGTGTTGGAGCTGCATTTTGATTCTGGAATTTTGACCTATTTTTGGGTAGTGACTTTTTGGTTACACTTAGGAAATGCATTTGGATTCTCAAATGTTGCCTTTTTCTTTGGCATGATACTCTTGTAATGCTTTAAGCTGGTGTAGGCAATCTGAACACAGACAATCACAGCACATCTTCTTGTAAGAAGCTATTGTAACTGAGCACAGTTAAGGTGACTTAAGTCAAGCTATGTTGTTTGCTAGAACAGCTATATTAAACACATTTTCATTTTAGGATGCTTTCAATTTGTGATGAATTAATCTGAACGGAAATTCTATATACATGGAGGATATCTGTACTCAAATTGATATCTCTCTATTTTACATTTGTGCAGAATTATTTTGATTATTTGTTTAGCTTCTCATATAATAATCCCAACAATCTAGTTAAATACATGTTCCTTTTTACATTCCTATTTTATGAATGGGAGGCTGTGGCACAGACATGCTAAATTACTTGTGCAAGATATTGTAATTTGGAAGCACGATGCAGGATTCCAATATAGCCCTTCTAACTCTATATTCTTCATCTTGTCTATGAGGAATTTAGAAATTTTTAACTGTACTTCTAAAGTGTTACATTTAAGATCTCAGCAGGATACTCAGGGAGCCATTTCCAATACATGTGCAAAGGTAAAAACTTTAGTATGGATGCAACACATTGAAAGTTATTTTGGAACTATCTCAGGAGAAATAATACCTAGAGTGAATTATTGCAATCCTTAAAGCAATAAACTATGTATAAACTCCATGGAAATTTACTGTTAAAGATGTGCAGATAAACAGGAATGAACCCAAACAAAGAATATCCTTTATGACATCACCCTGATGGGGAGATGAGAGTTTAATTTTGGCTCCACCAAGGGAGATGCACCATCCCTGAAGAAAAGGGAAAACCTGAGTAAAATATTCAGTGTCTAGGGAGTTAATACACATTGTGGTTTAAGAAGTAAACACAGTCCCTTCATTTCCTTTATATATCTAGAATCCATTCTCTAGGAAGAGACTGAGGAAGCTATCTCATTGTTTATAGACAATCTCATTATGTCATTAAATTCATGTTAAACCTTCTGACGTCCCATCCAGTGACAATTGTAATAAGAAGGGTTATTTTCCTCCAAAGCTGTTGCTTCAGAGCAGTTAACATTATCATTAGAAATTATGACCACTAATCTGGAAAGACTTCCTGTAAATATGAGAAATTAAGCTTATGTTTTATCTTATTAGAATCAAAGCAATCAATAACAAAAATCCTGTATTATCCTTTGGGACCAGAGAGTAAAAAGATAAGAAGTGATCACCAAGGTTTTCTCTCCTGAAAAGGGTGAGTTTTGAAATCTATTCATATTAATGTCTTCCAGTTTATTTAACTCCTTTACTGAGAGATCATTATCATGCAAATTATATATATGAGACATTCAACTTGATGTGGCTTAAATACATAATTTAAAATGATTGGAACAATGAAAATAGTTAACATATTCATTGCCTCTACATAGTTACCCTTTTAAGTATGTGTGATGTGCACACACATATATAGAAAGAATAAAAATTTTAAAGCTCTATTTTGTTATCAAATTATGAGTACATGAAACAGTATTGTTAACTACTGTTATCACATTTTACTTTAGATCTCTAAATCATAATTATTTTGCATAATTGAACTAGTTACTTTGGCCAGCTTAACCTGAATTTCTCACTGGCGGATGACAATCAACATCTTACTTTCTGGTTATGTGAATGCACTGTTTTAGATTTACACATATATATGAAATCTCACATTATTTCTCTTTCTATCTCTTTTTTTTTAAAGTTAGCATAAGGACCTTATATTTTGGGGTGAAGTCCAGGAATCTGATATAGGTTATTTTTTCCCCATTTTCTTCTATCCTAAAACTCAAGTAAAGCTAGTAAAGGAACATCTTTAAAAGAGAAGTCAAAAATGTTCATAGCATTGTTGGACACTGGGAGGGCAGTATTTTAATCAGTAAGTACCCCCTCCATGGACAAATCACTCACCCTTCTGCACAGTAGATTTTCTGTATCATGGGACAGTAGCTGAGCCATTTATTCCTGGAGCCTGGTTGTTTTGTTTAAATTAGAAGAGTGTTCATGGTTCCAGAACACTAGAGTCTGATCTGCATTAGAGTGTAACACCAAGGTGAAAGACCTCTGCCTCCAGTTTTACTAGTGAAGAGAAGAGCCAAACAAAGGAGGAAATGATGAGATGATGCCGTCTAGCCCTATCTTTTCCCTTTGGTTTTTCTAAGCATCTTTGTTTCCATATGGCAGCAATGGCCTCGGCTCTGCTGGCTAAACTGGTGATACTTTGCACCATGTTTAGCTTTTAAGACTTTAATGAGGGGAAGACAATGTCACTCAATACTAGATAACATTACAGGAAAGCTCTGTGTATTTAGGTTGCTTAGGTTCTGATATTCCTGGCTTATGCCTCACATTGTAAGAGAAGATATTGTAAGAAGAATTGGGTATGATGTGATGTAATCCTTCCTTCCTGTGCCCACAGATTCGATAGAGAAGAATGGCTCCTGAAAATGGCTCTTTTGTAACTGAATTCATTCTGATGGGGTTAACAGACCGGCCAGATCTCCAACTCCCGCTGTTCTTCCTGTTTCTAGTAATGTATTTGGTCACTGTGTTAGGAAATTTGGGCTTAATGACTCTAATTGGGTTGAGTTCACAGCTTCACACTCCCATGTACTTTTTCCTGTTTAACTTGTCCTTTATTGACCTTCATTATTCTTCTGTGTTTACACCCAAAATGCTCATGAACTTTATATCAAAGAAGAATGTTATCTCCTACACAGGGTGTATGACCCAGCTCTACTTTTACTGTTTCTTTATCATTTCTGAATGCTACGTGCTGACCTCAATGGCCTATGATCGCTATGTGGCCATCTGTAATCCACTGTTGTATAACACTTCCATGTCCCCTAGAGTGTGTTGCAACCTAATGCTTGGTTCATACCTGGTGGCATTTTCTGGTGCCATGGCCCACACGGGATGCATGCTGAGACTGACCTTCTGTGATGCAAACACCATCAACCACTATTTCTGTGACATTCTCCCTTTGCTTCAGCTCTCCTGCAGTAGCATTTATGTCAATGAGCTGGTGGTTTACATTGTGGGGGGCATCAATATCATTGTGCCCAGTGTCACCATCTTTTTGTCTTATGTGTTCATCCTCTCTAGTATATTTAAAATAAACTCCAGTGAGGGCAGGTCTAAAGCTTTGAGCACCTGCAGTTCCCACATAATTGCAGTTTCTCTGTTCTTTGGGTCAGGTGCATTTATGTATCTTAAGCCATCTTCTGCTGGGTCGATGGATGAGGGAAAAGTGTCTTCTGTCTTTTATACCATTGTGGTTCCTATGATGAACCCTGTAATCTATAGTTTGAGGAACAAAGACGTGAAAATGTCCCTGGGAAAATTCTTGAGCAGAAGATAGCTTGATGAGAAACATTCTCTCTCTGTGCACGCATTTATAGCATGAAATAAATCCTGAGTTTACATAAAATGTATTTCTTCAAAACTTCATTATAGTATTCCTTTTTTTTTAGCTTGGAGGGCAATATTTGAAACTTGTCTTATTTGCCAGACCTTTATTTTTGGCAGTATGTTTTCTCTCTTTCCTTATTATTTGCATCTTTTACCACTTTTCCTGTGATGGATGACATGATATGAAAATAACTACAAAAATGGGGTTGACAAATTAATCTAGAAAGAGGGGTAGAGCTGATATCAGAAGACTAACAGTTTGTTTTAGGTTTTTTCTTCTTTAAGGAGCTATTGGACTTTAAATTATTGACCTCACAGAGTTTCACTAGCCCTTGTACACAATAAATATACATTGATAATCTAGTATTAGTTACACTTCAGAAGGTACAGTAAATACAGCTGACTGAAAAGTATAATGCAGAGTGTTCACAGCTGCAATAGAGATTGTATTTGATAGACTGTGTAGAAAGGTGTATATTTGTAAACTGCTAGCACATGAATAAAACATATTCCTGCCCAAAATAAGATAGAAAAACTACAGAAGAGACACCTGTGGGATTCATGTTTCATTAAAAACTGTCAAATAAAAATTGTCCCATCCAAAAACACAACGTTAGCAGAGTGTCATCTTATGCAGAATCATTCATTCATTTTAGGAAAGAGTCCATATTGACAATGAAAGAGAGAAAGAAGGAAGGAAGCAGAGAGGGAGGGAAGGTGCAGAGGAAGCAAGGAAGAAAGGAAGGAAGGAAGGAAGGGGAGGGAGGAAGGACAAATTATAAAGGTTTATATAGGACTTATTCTAAGGGTTCTTGTGTTAAGGTTTTGTTCAAGTGAAAAACTTGATGGTACTTTTTCATGTGGCCAGTATAGATTGGAGATTATTTGCACAAATTGGCAAGAGAATTTTCTTGGAAGGAGAATCAGTGTTCATTTTCAGGGTCTTTTAAATGAGAACAATGGGGCTTGGGATAAAATGGAAGGGACAGACCAAGTACTAAAGAAACACACTGTTATTTAATAAGAGATCTCTGAAGAACGACCAGTGCAAGTTTAAAAGCATTTTAATTTGACCATGTATCTTGTTCTGTAGACTGTCCTGATCATCTTCCGCTCTTTGTAAAGGTTTGGAAAGTCTTAGGAAACAGAATTGACATACATTAATATTGTGTTGACAAATGAAAGTGGTCATATTTGTAGGGAATGAGGCAAAGACAGCAACTCCAAGAAATAGAACAGTGAATGTCAATTAAAATTTAAGTTAAAAGAAGGAATTTAAGAAATCAAATAATGGGAAAGTAAACTATTATTTTCTGTTCTCCTTTCTGGAAGCCCATAGAAATATAAAAAATTATAGATTTCTCTGGATATAACACAGGCTTGGGCCTTTTTATTTCAAAGAAAGTTTATCCAGTGGGCAGGAGGATCTGGGAACAACTAAATCACTCCTGTTTTCATCGATTTTCATATACTCTTACCATTTGGAATACAAGAAATAAAAACCTGATATTTCAGTTTGTAGAGCAGTGACAATTGGAAAACTCCATTTGGTGAATAAAAAACATTATGGTAAATTATTTTCAAGAGAATGATGATGGATAATTTTTCTTTTCAGAAACCAGAGTCCATGACTATTTAAAAATTCCTAATCTGATACACTAAGTGACAATATATATAATTTGTAAGATAATTATAATAATATATACTATTTTCCCCTTTTTTTAAAAAAAAACTCTCAGTTCAGTGTTTGATTATTGCAAAACTTACCATCAGTGGTTTGTTGGCTTATATATTTTATATGCACAACTTTGCTAAATTCTTTTTTTTATTTTAAAGAGAATTGAAAAAAAGAACAAGAGGAAAATACCAGCAACATAGACAAAAACGAAAGAAAGCAAAAACAATAAGAGTGATACAGGGTTTCAGAACAAGATGATAAGGGTTAACAGTGGTTGTTATACTACATATTTTTGTCTGAATTCTTCCTTGAAGGCTTGAAGTAACCACTCCTTCTGCATCTGATGGCTGCAATATCAACACATTCGGCATTTCTCCACAAGTCTCAGCTATATGTAATTATTGAACTTGGTAAAGGATTTGTTTCAATTTCTTTTACTACAAAGAAAACACCATTATTTTCCCTATTAAATAAAAGTATATTTAAATAATAAGGGAGCTATTTTTGCCATTTGGTATCCTTTAAAGGTATTGCAGGGACTGTGCCCGCACCTTACACATTTCATTAGCATTTGAACTGACCAAGCCTGTATTCAACTGGATCATTGATCTTTCATTTGAGGAACCTCAAAATAAAAAAGTCTGTTTCATTTTTTAGAAGTTAAAATCCTTTAAAATTAAGTCCTTTGTTTTTAGTTTCTGTAAAATGAATTTAAAAACCTTAAATATTCTGTAAATATGATACAGCATGCTAAGTCCTCAAAAAATCCCCTATAAATAGAAATTCAGTTTTACTGTGATATTCCTGTTCTAGACATCATCCCCAAAGACTTAAAGAAATCAGATTAGTCATCCATGCACACCCATGCTGACGGCAGCACAACTCTTACTAGCTAAATCTTGAAAGTGTTCTAAATGCCCATCAGCAGGGGAATGGATAAACAAAATGTATTTTATGTACGCACATAATAGAGTACTGCTCAGTCATACAGAAGGATAAATTTGAGTCATTTGTAAAAAAAAAATGGATGCACCTTGAGACCATTATATTAAGGGAAATAAATCGTACACATGCTTTCTCTCACATGCCAGAACCATGATATGAATTATTTAAAGAGCAGTCTTAAAGATAGATAACAGGAAATAGGGAGATAGATCATTTGCAGATGGGACCGAGAGTTAGAGACAGAGTGAGGAAAGGGTAAAGGGAAGTGCAAAGAATTAAGACATGTGCAAAGAATTAAGTGCAAAGAATTAAGACTATGTACGTGCTCCAGCTCCCCATGATGAGTGTGATCGCTAGGTACTGCAAGCATGTACTAATGAAAAAAATACTGTGGACCCTGGAGCTCAATGGGGCTTCCTCATGGAACCTCATGTGAGAGGATGCAGCCCGATTCCACTAGAAAGAGACACAGCCGCTCTGCTTGAGGATCCTCCCACACCTCACCCCACGGTCTCTTCATGTGTGTCCACCAATAAAACTGTGCTCATTAAAAACGCAAATGTGATGCTTTTAATAGGATTGTAGTGATAGTTCATCGTGGCTTAAATTTGCGTTTCCCTAATGATGAATGATTTGAAGACCTTTTTCTTTTTAGACTTTATATTTTAGAGCTGATTTAGCTTCACAGCAAATTTGAAGAAAACGTACACAAATTTCCTGTATAACCCCTGATCCTACACATATACAAACTCCTATGTTATTAACGTTTTCCACCAGAGTGACACGGCTGACGCAGCATAGCTGACTCCATTTTGTTTCTGAACTGCATTTTAAAGGTCACTTAAACTCCAAATGAACTTCCTCTTCTCCTCTTGCCATTTAATTAACCATAAAACCCACAAAAGGAGAGCAAATCGTTAACCTAAGGAGCAAATAGAATACATTGTGGGGAAAGCTAAAAGTTAACCACATCTTGTCTGACCAACAAACTCCTGGGAAATGTAAACTTGTGACAGCTATGTGGCATTCTTGCAAAATTCTCAGAAATTAGGTAATGTGGTTACTATGGAAACTTGAAAGTATAAAACCCTGAAGCCCAAAGACTCGTCGTCATTTTCTGACACCATGTCAGATTGTCGTCCTGCCAGCAGAATAAAAGCTTTGTTCGTTTCACTATTTTGTCTTTCTGTGAGTGGTTTCTCTCTGATCTGCCACAAGAGTAACAAACATTTTACAACTGATGAACTCATAATAATGTATATTACAAACACCTAAGCTCCATAGTGTACATTTGTATTCATACTTAGTGTTCTATATTGTATGGATTTGAACAGACATATAAACATGTATAAACCATTAAGACATATACAGCATTTTATTGCTTTCATTGTACAAAGTATTTTCATTCTCATCTTCCATTATTTCCATATTCTTCATTCACCAACCTTCTAACTCAGCAATTACTGATCTTATTGACTTTTATTTTTGCCACTAGAGAAGCACCATGTACTTGGAATCATATGCCTGTATCATTTTCAAATTGGCCTTTTCTATTTGGGAATATATATTTAATATTTGTGTCTTCTCATGAGTTGGTAGCTCATTTTTTACTGCTGAATAATACTTCATTGAGTAGACCATTCTTTATATATTTACTCATTTACGTTGCTGCTTCCAAGTTCTGGCTATTCTGAATAAAACTGAGGTGTATATTTAAGTGTTGTGTTTTTGTGCACAAAAGTTTTCAACACCTGTGGATAAGTATTAGGGAGTGTGATTACTGGATTATGTTATGAGTAGGTTTAGTTCTGTAAGAAGCAGTCAAAATATCTTCTAAATTGGTTATGCCATTTTACTTTCTCACCAGTAATATATGAGAATTTATTTTTTCTATCTCCTCGCCAGCATTTGTTATTGTCAGAGTTCTGTGCTTTGGCTGTTCTAGTAGGGTGGTATTTTATTAATCTTTTCATTTTGCTGAATGTAGATATTGTGGAGTGTCTTTTCATATGATTATTTATTGTCTATAAATATATGTCTTATTCCACACATTATTCATTCTTCACTTATTTTGTATTTTGTAGTTTTTTTTCAGTTATAGATTTCTAGTCTGAGAGAAGAGATTGTATAGCTTGTCTTCTATCAAAAAAAAGGTGTACTTATGTCCCTGAATATGATTTATTTTGAGAAATGTTCTATGTCATGTGTTTTCTCCTATTTTGGGGTGAAGTAGTCTATAAATATAGATACTCTGGTTGATTGGTGATGTTTTGGTTCAACTGTGAGCTTAGTGTGGGAGCTTCCCATTTCTAAAAACAGGGTGTTGG